ATCAATTAAAGTTTTAAATAAGTTTATATAATAAAAGGAGGTAAGTGAATAAGGCGGACCAGTTCGCTCAGTCTATCAGCAACCTATCACTCAAGCGATAATGGCCGACCTAGTGGCAGACTAGCCTGTCTGAAATCCGTGCCAATATCGGACTTGGCCAGATCGACTGGTAACTGGTACCGTTTTCATCTCATCCTTAAGTCTTTACAGCTCCTTGCGTTCCTTAGGCTCCTTGAATCCCTCAAGTTTTTTACTTCCAGGAGATCTGTAACCTCCTGTAGCTCCTAGAGCTGTTTGTGTTCTTTGGATCGCCAGAGTTCTTTGATTTCATAGAGGTTCTTATGTTGCGTAAGGTATTGGGCCTCTAGAACTTTGAGATCCTCACGCTCCTTGGATTCGTAGAGTCACTAGGATTCTTAGAAGTTCTTTACTTCCGAAAGCTTCATGAGTTTGCTGGAATCGCTGAGTTTCTTGAATTTTTTGTGTCTGTTCGGTGGGCGTTAATGATTGCTTAGTTTTTATTAATGCTTGAGCTGCAAAACCTCAAGAGATCAGAATTTGCGAAATTCAGACACTTATCGTGTAAATGTGATTTAGTAAAGCTTTGTCTTTTTTTACTATGCAATATTCAACTTTATGGTAAAATCGGCGACGCTAATACTATTTTGAAGAGCTGTCTACGGACTGTAGGAAAGTCATAGCATCTCACTTTGTTAGTAGTTTGAAAACTTCCAAAACCAAACAACAGATTATTCATGATTTTTGCGCATCCAGAATTTCATCCAGGACATTTTATTAGAGGGTGCTGTATATTGATTATTACAAAGTATGCAATAGGTAGTAATCTCGCTTTAGTTTAGCAATTCTTTTTTTCTTACCTTTTGGTTACTGCTGATTCTTTTAAGAAAAAACTGGCTTCTAAGATTCTAACGATACAGCTCTGGTCCTCTTTTATTTTTTATTAATATTGCATGGAGTTTCTAACCTATAATTCTCAAATTCTTAATTTTTCCCAAGTTTTTTTGGTGAAGCCATGATTATTACACGAATATGTGTTTTTTCATGTGACAACTCTTAATTTCATAATTCGAAACGGTTGGTTTGATGCAATAGAATATTACTTATATCGATCATTGTCTCACTGATGATGTTTTCTGGTAGTCATGTATTTGTTTAAGGCATACCACTACCTGATCTCAAATATTTTGACAATACACAAATAAATATGCGTTCCTGTTTCTTTCAGATATTGTTGGCTTTGAGCTCATACAATATTTACAGGTTCGATTGATCTTATTTTCTTCATACCTTCGTGGCAGTTTTAATGTTTTAAGATGGCATCAAGTGGGAATAATATTGATTTTTATGCTATTTACGATTCCGACATTAGTGATAATTTCAAAATTCAGATGTTATTATCAAATAATTTCAAAGATGATTTTAAGGTAATAGCAAGTATTCCGCTGAACGCGTGCGAAGACAACCCATTTGTCTCAAAATTGTATCATTACAAACTAACACCAGAGAATCCGAAGGCACCTTGTTTTTCAAATACTCGTCAGTATTACATGCATTTGTCGCAATCGAAAACGCTTCAACCGACATATCATTTTGAAGACAAAACAGAGCGTCACTTAGATTTTAGGCAAACTTGTACGTACATATTTTCCTTACATTTTGAGAAATCAGGCTTAATAGCGCGCAACCCTCTATGCAAGTGTCCAGGTGAAAGTATTCCATTATTTGACCAGTTATGGCGATTCACATATTTTATTATTATGACAAATAAGTCTCACACATACAGTTCGTTTATCACACAATTTCTACAGCAAAATCAAGAACATGCTGATAAAAATGATATGACTGGAATTCTTCGACAATGTAACAAAAATCTCCATCAGATCAAATGGCAGATTATTAATAAACTAAGTGCAATTGGTGCACTTATCTGTATGTTTGGACTAATGGAAATAAATACATCAAATATTGTGCCAGTCTGTGAAGATGTGAAAATGTTAATAATTACAATTCTGCGTATTTTTCTCGTAAATAGCAATAGTGTAGTTGGACAATATCCAGATACGCATCATGTTGATTGCGGTTTAGTAAATTTGCTGTTTATTGAAATTTTGTCTGATAATATTGATCCTGATATTAATGCTATATCAATATTGCGTAAAATACAGATTCGCCAAGTTGATATTGTGGATCGATTCATTGAAAAATTACTTCGTAACAAACCGTTGATCAAACGTGTAAAATGGTTAGAACTGTTTACGCTGACAAAGAATCAAACAATTTCTAAAGATTGCCTGCCGTTGATTGCTACATTTACAGATTTTATTACTTATGTCAATTCTATCATAGATCAAAAAGAAAATGGAATTTTGGAAGAAGATTTAAAAAAAGAACTTTCATTGACATTTAATAGTCTATTACGCAACGGTCAATTCGAAATTAATTGCCCAAGTATTGTGGCTGTACTGAAAACATTATACAAACAAGTCAATAATTCGTTGTATATGCGTATCAATCAATACATATTTGAAAATAGCGAAGAATTGCGAATACAAGTGCAGAATTATCTTACTTCATCTGCGGCGTTTAGTCTTCAGCCGGCTGAAATTAATGATTTATTTCAATATTACAATCCGTATATATTACAGAAAGTTGATCGCAAAGTAGCATATCTTATCAAGCATTTAAACAGAATATCAACAGTTGACGGTAATAGAACAGATGATTTTTATATAGAATGGTATAAATACTTCGTATGTGATCAACATTATACACAAACTTCACAAGAGTATGAAAACTTTCAACGTTTATTCGATGAGTGGCTAAAACATATTAAACAAAATCGACCACTTTTCGATAATGTCCTAAAATCTATTGATAATTTACTAAGTAATCTTTCTTGTTCTGATGAGCGGATAAAACACATTGTAAAATCAATTTTGATGCTATGTCTTGAATCGAAAGAAATGGAAGCGAGCTCCCTGGATATTATATGTACACATGCAAAAAACAACTATTTTCTAAACGAATATAGAAAAGAGTATGTAAAAACTATTATTGAACCATATACTCATAGTTTGAAACAAATGAGTACTGACAACCCATTGTGTAAACTCTTGAATAAGTATAAGGTAAATCCAAATTATTTACTGAAACAATTAATCGAATTATGCACAAGGAAGATCATACTTGACAAACGTTATGTAGTCAATGATGTACTTGAAGCTGATCAACAGTCATTCGTATCAACAATTTTATTTGAACCATGCTTTGAACAACCAGGTATTTATCAAGATACACGCGATCTACTTCTTATAATCCGGAACATATGGGCTACTTTTGGTTTGACTCGTGAAGAACTGCAAAGAATGTTACGTTATAATGATAATCAAAAAATGAATTTCAAGAAAGTTTGGGACAATATTAATTTGTATGCAACGGATAGGATCGATATTGTCCAGTTAATTCAAGATACTAATCAAGAAATGAATAACAAAAAGAAAATAATCGATATACTCGATGCATCACTCAAACGGTATTGTTTCAATTCAAATGATATCGACACATATGAATCAGCTTTATATGATGCAACCGAACAGCTCAATGTCGAACCGATTCGTTTAGTTGCAATTGCTGCTTGTTTAGTGAAAATACGACCATTTGCTACCGAAGTTTATCCATATGAGCGATCTACGACATGGGAGCAGTATCGATACGAAAATCCTGTCAATCAATCAACGTGTCTGGATCGCATGATAGAGACAAGTAATTTGTTTAAAAAATTTCAGCAGGAACTTGAAAGAATCTCATTCGAATGGAAAACCATTACCTTGGAGCAAATTGTTAGAATGTTCAAAACTATTGGCTCGCCAATTGATACCGAACTGAATCTGTTGAAAAAGCTCATACCATCTTTAGAATTTAATCCAATAATTCACTATTGGAAAAACCAAGACTATCATAAAAAAGTTTGCAACGGATGTTTAATAATCATCTCGTTCTACCATCTATCGGATGGAAATTATTCAACTGTGTTTAATAATATTTTGTCTTTGACTGAAAAAAGTACTGGCGAATTATGTCATCAATATTATGATGACTATTGTCAAAAATTTTTAAAACAGCATGATAGCATATTTTTTGACCTATGTGCACAATATTATACTGCCAATGAATTAATCGATTTTTTATCAAATCGAACAGAAAATGATATGAAAAATTTGAGCGAGGGCACAAATGACAATGATGACACAATGATTACAACGGAGAATGTTACCGATTTTGAACTCTTACATTCATTTCTTTATCATATGAAGCAATCTAGTATTCTTACATTCGACGATTTCGTTCAAATTGCCATAACATATCTCAGCAAGGACAATACAATTGTAGAGAAACTTGCCTCTTGTACTTCACTTCTGTCTGGTCTCCAACAATTGTTTCTGGAATTGACTGACAAACAAGAATCGAAGCGTCGAAAAATCTTTCTCATTATTACAAAATCATCAATTCAATTCAAAAAGATGTCAAAAAAGAAAATTGATGTTTGTATCACTATTGTCACACAAACGTCTTTATCTAATGACAACAATGTCAATTATATAGAAATATGTGAATTGCGTGATCGTGCACGACTAATCGAATACTCACAGAATCAACAAATGAAACCGACAACTAATATGAATAAAGATTTTGAAATAAAAATGTTACATGGTTTTGTTCAATTTGTTGGTGTAGTCGAAGAATTGTTAAAACAGTTGAATGAATTGACTATGATGGGTTATCCAACTATTGAAAAAATGTGCAATAGAATATTCAAATGTGTCAAATGTAACTATGCAGAACTCGAACAATTTTTGTCAAATATTTATAAAATTCTTAACAAATGGAAAGAAAAAATCGATGAAATGTTTAGAGTATATCCTAACTTGACCTATTTTTGTGGCACACAATTCTGGATACTCGAAGAATATTTGTTAAAAATGCGTACATTGAATGAAAAACATCCAGGTTATCATCTATTGAAATATCTTGGAAATTCAAAGTGAGTTTTGTGTTTCATATGTAATCATTGTTAGAGTATTATCTTCATTCAATCATGATTATTTTTTTCTGTTTTGTAGTTTGTTCTATTATCCAATTGCGAGTCATAGTCAAGATTTGGATACTGAAGAGCGTCTGGAAAAGATCGGTAATCTTATAACCGATGCACAATTCGATTCAAAACAACAACAGATAAAGAATACTTTAGGGAATAAAATTATTCTTATTGTTGAAACATCTAATCAAGGTCTATATCGTGGCATTCTATCAAATAGCTCGTAATAATATCGACACATTGAGATTAAATCAATTATTATTCTGTACGACTGATACAAGTTGGATTGAAATTCAGTCATTCATTTATCGTTGCATGTATTCCACATGTAATGTTCTCTATCAAATTATTCAACCAGAACTGTTATCATTTTATATTCAAGATCAAGCATGCCGTTTGATTAAAGAATTAAAGGAAAAAAATGATTCTGACAAATTTCGTTTAGCATTCATTACAACTGACATTCGTATCCATTTGATACATGGTCTTATTCATACAGACACTGCAAAATTTGTACACGACACTGAATTAGTCGATGAGAATCAATTAATGGAACTGATTCAAGCAAAGGTAAAGTATTGTCGAATGTATTCGTCAGAAGTAACTGGACAAGGTAAGACGAAAACAATAAAAAAATTTATTAAACAAGCGGGAAAGAAATATCTGAAAATTCCATTATCTGGATGTCTGAATCTGGATCAAATTGCTAGCCATTTGCTCAATTGTAGTCCTAAATTGCAAACTTCGGTTATTCATTTCGATATTGGTTTTGTCAATGATATTAATCTGTTGAACAAAGTACTATTTTCATTGTGTTTTTTTCGTAGTTATTGTTTTACAGACACATACATTCAAATACCTGATCAAACTGAGCTATGTTTCGAATTAGATTCATTCTACTATGAAAATGAACAGTATGAAATTATTCTATTTAAATATTTGAAAGATTCAGTTATAGTCAAGTTTAATTTAAGTGAAATAATTATGAATCCCAAAATCAAATTTGTAGCCAACTATTTACACGCAATCGAAAATAAGACTATTCAATTTACGGATATAACAGTGGCAAATAACGATACGATTGATAAAGACATCTGTATACGACTATTGAGAGCTTATTTTCTAAAAGATAAAAATCAAAACTATCTGACATGGACACAGTTGCACATACTTATATCCGTGTTTTACACATTATTCAACGGATTTTCAAAATGCGGCTACTTTCTCGTTGATCAAATACCAACAAAACAGCTGCGAATGGATATTGTGTTAGCATTGGTACAATCAGCCAATCAATTCACTGTAATGTCGGTTGAAAACGTTCGTAAACGACAGCAAAATCCATCATTACAATACTCGAATGAAACACTGACAGATGCAATTGTCCGCTGGTCGGATACACAACCGTTCACAATGGTATTTAATGATACAAATGATCCAATATTTATCTACAAAACATTGAACGATGTTCCATATTCACTGATTAAGTATTTCGACATATATCAGAAATCAAATCAAAAGCAATTAACGATGGATGAAAATATCCGATACGGTGTATTTATCGATTATAATAGCGTAACTCATAAGCAATTCTTTTCCAAACTAGCATCACTCTCAACGAAGTTTATCAACAAATCGATCTGTTCCAGGTGCTTCAGAGAATATCCTTATGAAAATACGACCTGTATAATCTGTAATCCTAAACAAAGTCTTGTAAAACCGGCAACTTTTGACATAACTGATGTAAATAATTTCCAATTTGACATAGCACAACGAGTTGAATCCGAATATGTAATTACAGCCGATAACTTCATCAAAATGTTATTGATTTATTCAAGAGCGCAAAGTGGACTACCGGTATTAATCATGGGAGAAACAGGTAAAAAAATGAGGATCACGACTTCAATATATGGATTATTTTTATCTTTCAAAGCTGTTAAAAGAGATAAATGTGAAGATCTTTGTATAGTCGTCTTTCAACAAAAAGTGTCATTTAGCAAAATGCTCCTTGTAGACGAGATAGTTTATGAATCTATAGTCGAACCTTTAGAATTAGATCGAAGCCATTCGACTTTCTACTTACGTTTTTAGAAAAGCTCTCACATTTCTATGTTCACAAGAAGTGCTGAAAATAAAAGCTTTTTATTGAATTAGACCTAAATAGTTTCTCAATCTTCATGCAAAAAAT